TTAAAAATCTCAGATGTTTCAGATATTAAGATAATTGTGACTTCTGCTTGTTTTACTATATTCCTTTCTGGTTAAGACAGAATTATTTTTGGGAAATAGTTTCTGGTATATTAAATATGGGTATGTCTGCAGGTTCATTGGTCGATAACTCATCTACTTTAATCGCCTTTGGCTGAGATATATCAGAAAATTCTTCCATATTACCTAGACCAGATTCACAAAGCTTAGCTATGATCTTATAGTGGTTGAGAATGTATTGCTATTCTCTTTTTTCATCATCTATTCGTACTTATTTACTCTCAATACCAATATTTGAGAATTTCTTTCCAGCAATGTTATTAGAAAATGGTTTTTCACCATTCTCTTCATACCATTTAAGATACTTCTGATATAATGCTTTTTTACTTAACTCAACTATACTATCCTTAACTCAAGATGCAATATAATCAATTATAAATCGAATGAAATTAGGTAGCTGATCTCGCATTATATTTGATTTCATTTTAATTATAAGAATTTCTTGTGATTTAAAATCTGAGAGATCAAGACTAAGAAAATATCTCATAACTATTCCTGATGCTTCAGAGTGGTCAAGAACTTTTTCTAGTCGCTTAAAAAATGCTGTATTTTCTTTATATTGTGAAGAGACATCAAAACAGACTACATGAGATCCCCTATATCTATTTGAGTGAGGTATTCTAATTGCTTATAATTATATACCTAGCAAAATCTTTTAGTCATTTAGATTTAAAACTTTTGCGCTCTAAAGTTACTATTCCTTCTGTTATAAGAGATTTGAGATACTTATTAAATCTATGTTAATCCTTGCTAAACATTCCAGTCTTATTCATAACAATAAGCTTTCGAGTTTGGATGGCACTATTAAATTGTTCAAGAATTTTTTCTAAATCTGATGTAGTATAATGGAGATATTTACCTAAAACTTTGTCATCAATAAAGTCAGTGATAATGTTTTTTTTACACTGCTGTAGTTTAGACTTTAGGATTAAGATTGATTGAGGCTTTTTTTCTGACTTCTGCACTAAATACGCTTATCATTTCTAAAGATATTTATGAAGTTTCTCATTTTTATCACTAATTATATTCTTCATATGCCAGAGAATCAGATCCATAATTTCTTTATTAATTTCTAGTGCTGGCTTAGCCAAAAATTCTAAAAAAAGGTTGAAGAAATCCGTAACTAGTTAGAAAACATTTGGTGGATATAGGAGGAAATTATAATCTTCATAAAGTATTAGATCTTTAGTATCTGCTTGGTCTATTAATGATTTTAATTTTATCAATTTCTCACTATATTTGATTATATTAATTTTATAATCAGCAAGCTTTAGTTTAGATTCTATATTAAAGAAAAGGCCATTTTTTATATCTTTACGCTTAAGAAACTATAATTTTGAAGTTTCTTGCATGCAGGCAACTGTTGCTTGAATAGCTTTATAAACTTTAGCATAGGAGAATTTCCTACCTGAAGTACACATACGTAATAAGTCTTAAAATACAAATTGATCTTTTGGATTCATAATTCTGGGTTGTTCTAATTTTACTGAAATTAAAAGTTTTTTTTCTCAATCCAAAACAGTTTTGCTAATAGTAAGTTTTTTTGAAGGTATTCTAGAGCCAGGTTCTTTATCATTGTTTGTCCAGTAGCAAAAAAAGCTGTAAGAATTTTTATTTCAAATAATATATGTATTATTACTATCATGTTCTCAGTCATATATTAGATAGTGTGATAGAGAGATATACAATAGTGGAAATTTATCAGGAAAATTTTCAGATGGATATGAAAGACTATATTCTTCAATGCTAGCCTCTTGAAGTAATGTCTCTATTAGTTCAAATTCAGTTATAGTTATCTCATTACTTATGTTAGCATATTTTATGCTTTCGTTTCTAAAACAACCAAAAGAGAACTGTTATCGATAATTTCTGATTCATCATTAGGCGGGCAGATTATAAAGTCGAAGATAGATTCATCTTTTATATAAATAGCTTTTTTTATATGAACGTATTCCTCTGTTTTTTCATTATATTTGGGTGATCTAAGCATTCGCAAGAAAAATGATCATTTATTTACTATATTGTCTACAATACCTTTATCCTATAATCCTGCTGAAAGTTTTTTACGAATAAGCTCAATAAATATTGCAACCTGAGTGATGCTTAGAAGTCTCATACTAAAAGTTGAAATATGGAGAGATATTTTTTTCACATCACTACTATCAGCAATGGATATAGTTTTTTTATCACATTTTGGAAATATTTCTAAACAGATAACTCTAAAAGTATTGTAAAGTGTGTTTTTAGCCTATTTGTCTGATAGTTTACGTAAAATAGCATTTAGTATTTCTATTAGCAAATCGAAATCTATGATAAGATAGAGTAACTCACTACCATTAATAATCTTGTGTAAGGAATACCCTTTATAATCTGAGAGTATTGCTTCTATCTTGTTCACATTATCTGTACTAAGAAAATGTCTTAGTTTAATACTATTATCTCGAATTTTATATAGAGATGCACCTATATCAGAGGAATTAAACTCACAATAGTATAGGGCAGAGATGTCAAAGAAGTTTGAAAGCTCAGATTGGATCATGATATTATATAATAATATATAGTTCGAGAGAAAATATATACTTCAGAAGGAAAAAATTCAAAATGAAAATTAATTTTAAAATATATAAATCAATACATAATCGAACTATTCATAGTTATCAAAAATGGCATTTTATCGATATCTATATATTTTTAGGACTGGAGAAGTTTGTAATCGAATGTCAAATACATTGAAATTCTTTTTTATATATACCTTGTATTGAATGTGATAAACAAACTTATTTTGAATATGGATTATGTGATCTATATACTAGAAAGCACTATAAAAAGGAATAGTACTATCAGAAAAAGCAGACTAAGTTAGCTTTAACGTAAATACTGGTAGGTAATTTAGAGGTAAATAAAAATAATATAACTTATTACTAGTGTTACAGGAAAAAAGCTCATGACAAAATTAGTAATGCAGATAATAGGCTCTTTAGGAATTCTAAGCTGAAAGAAAGTTTTCTTGATAAGTGTCACTGGTATCACTACCATCACTGGAAAAAATCTGAGTTTTTTAACTCTTTTTTATTTTTTTTTAGCATATATATCACACATATATTATATATTCATTATATTATACCCATATAGATTAGACATAGAAAAATTTTGATTTTTTTTTCTAGAAATTACTACTTTTTACTAGTGATACTAGTGACTAAAGATGGTCATCGCAATTAAAAAAAATAGCACAATTGAGTTGCAACTTGTGACGCAATTAAATTTCCTTATGACACAATTAAATTGCAACTCAATTGAAATTTAAAAATAATTATAGGGACCATCTTTACTAGTGACACTAATCAAAAAAGAAATAAAATAGCCTAATAATCTCAAGAAAGATAGCAAACCTATTACTAGTTTTATTATTAGTTTTAAATACTAATTGGTGATACTAGTGACAGCTAGGGATAACAAAAATTCGTCTTATTTTACATTCTAATGTATCCAAGAAGGTAATAAAAATACATTATAAATGCATTCTAATGATTCAAATCTTAAGATACAAAATTAGCATAATTATACTGGTAACAAATAGACAATAATAAGATTACAAGATAGCACATTTCTAGTAAACAAATGGCTGGTCATAATAATGTCTATTATATCTCTAAGTAGCATAATACCTCAGCCTCTACTCTTGATGGGTTGTGTATATTTTCAATAAAGATTCTTCTGGTAGGAATTACTACTTATTAAGCCTAAACATTACGTCATTAGAATAATAAAGCTTATTTGCTAACAGGGAGTTTAAGTTATAAACTATGAAAGAAATAAACACAAATTTATTTAAGTTAAAGGGTTAGATAGTCTTTATTGATGATTGATGTTTTAAGGAAATAGATATTGGCAAAAATATAGTTTTTATGTTGTTAAGATTATACTTTATTAATTGTATAATAAAACATGTTAATTTGTTAAGGTGACAATATAGGATATTTATATAAAATACAATTATAAGAAAGAGATAATAAATATAATAATGAAAATAAATATAATCATGAAATAAATATAATAAATAAAATAATAATAAACGTAATAATAAAGAAAATAAATATCATAATGATAACTATAATAGCAGTAAAATTAGTAAAAATGATGATCAAGATTTTCTTAGTGATTATTAGTAACATTAACTGGCGTGATAAGTAAGCTGTGATAGATTTTGTCAATGCAAGTGATCATTGATCTTTCTGCAATTGACATTCTTACTGATTTTATTTAATTTATTATGCTCTTATCTATTACTAATTTCTTGACTTACTATGTTACTTTTCACTTCTAAGATGAACATATTGATATAAAAGAAGACTCTAAAACTATTTCGCACACCTAGTGAAAGCTTATTTGTTAATAAAGTATTTCATATTGGGCTTAATAATAATTTTATAAATCTGGTATTATATAATTGTTCTGCTTATTAATAATAATATAAGTGAAAATATATCATAGAGCTTTGATCACATATTAAAAAAATTTCTAATTAGATAACTCGTAATCACTAACACTTATATTTTCATATTTGGTTAAATATGAGAAACTCATAGTAGTGTATTATGTTACAACAAGATATATATATATATACTGTATCTTAGACTTAAAACTTTCTTAAACTTTCACCTGTTATGTGTTCTACGTGTTGGTCATTTCTTTTCTTTTGACAAGTTTTCACTGTTTTCACCTGCTGTAATGTCTACTTTAGAAATTTCTTTTTTTTGTTCAAATTGGTAAGGGCTATCTTTTATGTACATTTTTTGAAGTAAAAGAATTATGATATTCATATATATTAAATTTTATAAATAAAGCAATTTCTTCTTATCAAAAATAAACTATCCTTATAGTTGTATGATAGCTTTCTCAAAAAATTGAAGCCATTAATTATGGAAGACGAAATTGCTGAACTTTCATCAGTTTGGCGAAAAAGATTTTTGACAGCATTGAAAGAAATAAATAATGATGATATGAAAGATAAACAAGCGTAATATATTATAGACCTTTTAAGTAATTAAGTATCTTTTCTTAGTATATTAAGCACAACATAAGGAGGTGTCGTTCCTTTAGCATGCAAGAGCTTGAAGATATTATTTCTCCTAAAACTATGTATGAAGTATCATTCCTTGTGCTATTGCACAAACCCAGGAGGGTGTTATCCTTTATTCTTGTAAATAGTCCTATAAGAGTGTCATTCTTCTTTAGATTCCTGAAAGGTATTATCCTTTATTTCTTGCAAATAGTCCTATAGGGATATTATTCTTCTTTGAACTTCTGAGGGTGTCATTTCTAATGCAAAAAATTGCTAATAAACCTTTTTTTTTTATTAAGAAATTAATCATAACCAATGCAAGCTTTTGGAAAAAGCTAAAAATGGAAAAGAATCGTAAGCTTTCTGAAGCTAATCTTCATCATAAAAAGGTTTGTACTTTGAATTATACAAATTGAATCAGGTTATATTTATTAATAACTTTTTTATAGTTTATATTCATATGCAACTTGCAGATTGAAGTATTAGATATGTTAGAATTAGCATGAACATTGCAAACTATTCACAAGTTTAACCAATATATTAATACAAATAATAAGAATATCACAGTATGTTAGCTAAGCTGTATATTCTGACATAGTTTATATAAACTAATGGCTAATTAGATTATCACTCCTTTCTAGATGAATATTCTTGAAATTGCTAACCTCGCTAAATGTTCTAAGTAAGATGATGTAAACATTATAAATTCTTCATGATATGATTCAATCATTGTAATATACTAACAATAATTTAATGATATTTGTATTGCAGAAATCTATAAAATCTGATGAAGAAACCATTGGTACGAAAAATTTTATATAAGGTTTTATTATTAATCTTTATTTAACTAATAAAAAATAATTTCTTTGGTTAAACTATCTAGCTAAATTGTTAGTACAAATATTACAAAATAAATCTGAAAAAGCTGGTAGTTTGGTATAAGATAAAGATTAAAGATTATTATTAAAGAAATGTTAGTCAGAAATTGATTTTACGCAAGATAAAAACTAAAGACTATTATTAAAGAAATGTCAATCAGAAATTGATTTTACGCAAGATGAAGATCAAAGGATATTAGAAGAACTAACTGATTTTGCACAAGATAAAGATTGAAGATTATCATTAAGGAAATACTGGTTATCAATTAAAGAACGTGAAGTAAAACTTAAGTGCGAAAGAATAGAACTAATGAAATTAAAAAAAAGCTTAATATAGATTAGTCATTAGAAATATAAATTAGTTATTAAATCAATAGCAGAGATTTTATAATTCTTAAAGTAGTTTGCGAACTATTTTTACTTTAACAATGTAAATAAAAGAAAACTTGCATAGTATTGCACATTTCAGATGATTTATTCACATAATCTAACTTTAAAATTTATATTTGTCTGGGGATTCTTTTAGGTGTCAGGACTTAATTTTTCAGTGAATATTAAAAAATCAGGCACTATATTTTGTTTATAATTAACAAGGGATATCATTAAACATGAAGTTGAGCCAAGTTTGCCTGATGTTATGTGGTACAGTAGCGGTCATAAGTATCTGACCGCCTCTAACTCCGGCTAAAAGTAAGTAAATTCAAAATTTTTTTTTTTATTTAAAAAATACATAACCAACTAACTAAAATTAATACATTGTGTAGT